TTCAAAAAAAAAAAAAAAAAAAAAAAAAAAAAAAAAAAAAAAAAAAAAAAAAAAAAAAAAAAAAAAAAAAAAAAAAAAAAAAATTAAATAAAATCAAATATATATACTTAGTGTTTGGCTGTCGAAATTTTAAACGTATTTTTCTCGCAACGCTGATTTCAGTGTTGTTGACTAATATTTATCCSAATTGCGAGCCGACTTGAAATTTCACTACACTACATTTTTAAATATATTTGTCAGATATTGATCAAAGCAATCAAATTTTTTATTATCAATCCGATTTTCAAGCCACTCTAAAGRGTAGTTTTCTTCACAAAACCGATTTTTGCGGGAAAACGCCGTTTTCGAATAAAACATGCTTTTGATTTTGGGATTTGAGATAATTCTCCAAATCCAAAAAATTTCTAAATTTTTTTTTTCTTACTTGCAACTGTATTAAGACCTCAACCTCTTTTCCACTCTCTTTCTTCTTTAAGTTCTCTTCCCTCCTTCAGAACTTGGGTTCTAAACAGACCATAAAACTTTGTTTAGAGCGAATGACGAGTGAACATAGCTCGCTTGCTTCAAATTAAGTAAATCACCCACTGGAAAACGTGGGACATCATCCCSTTGCTTTATGAACTGATATAAATATTTGTTCAACGGAATCTTTTTTTTTCAATATCCACTTCTTATATAAAATTGTAATATCTCCCACAATTATTTTCTTGATTCCAGCTTGAATTCCAGCTTTAAAGCTTATTTCCACAAAAATTTCCAGCAACACATTTCACTCACTTTATGCGTATAACCGACACAGTGCAGTTGAGTGCTTGTTGTTGCACCATCAATTGCTGTCATTTTGTTGCTGATATTTCACACAAGATATGCTGATGCTGTCATTGCAGCTGCCGTTGAAGCTTTCGAAGCTAAAACTGCTGTTAACAACATGCTTACACACTTATCTATGTATGCTTATAATGCTATAGCCGTTCGAGTTGTTTTCATGCTTTTTCTACTCCTTTTGGGGCTTTTGTTTTTGCATTTGAAATGTTGACAGATATCATTGTTGTGCAAAACTCAAGTGCCAATAAAAATGTTAAGTAGCTTTGCGTTGTCAGATGAGCGATACGAGCACGCATACACTCACCAATAAAGCTTAGAAAGCAGCCAAAAACACACACACGYACCCGCTCCGTCACAGATAAGGCTTCGCTTAAGCGCACATTAAAAAGCGACAACAACAAAATGGAAATAAATATAAAAATAATACAACAAAAATGAACTTGAAAATATGAGAACGCTTCTTTGATAAGCGCCGAAAGCGCTCGAAGTGATGCAACTTTTCGACAGCTTTGCTTTCAACAGACTGAAAAAAGAAGGCAACAATATTTTTTCTTTTTCTTCCTGCACATAACCTAAATAACAATGAATTACAGTGAGAATTACTCGATGAAGCGTTTAGATAGCAATGCGGCCTTCACAAATAAGAAAAGTTCAACACTCGGCCGAGCAACTCGTTGCGAAAATCGTTGACTAACGATATATTTATAGAAGTGTCGGAATTCTCATGCACAAGACAATCTTCGCGCCATCAAGGGCATCATATTCAACCTCTTCGTCATCATCATCATCAACAGCAGCAGYGGCTTCATCGCCTTGATCGGCGTCATCATCATTGTCGGTAGCGTCACGTGGAGCGTCGAAGACAAGTTTCTTGTCAGCGCCATTAGTTGGCATTGACTCGTTGGAGCCAAACTTCGTCAATTCAGCCTCATCAATCGCAAATGAATCCGTTAGTATTATGTAGCCATATAGTGCCCGTGGGAATTATCCACGCGCTGTGCGGCAGGTGAAGCGCGATGGCCCGTTATTTGCGCTGTGTAGGCGGTGTATATTATGTGGTRGTGCCGTAGTTGGCGTTTGGCTGCTTGGTTTGGCATGCCACATGTTTGCTGGCATTCTCAAARGGCTCGTTGCCAATTTATTTCCTGTAATCACTCTGTTTTATTATTTTTGTCGCGCGTATCTTTCATCGCTTGTGCCGATTTTCCCCAAGAYCATGTAATTAAGCCTTAAATGTGTGTCACAAGCGCATATACTGAGGAGAAGCGATTTACTATTATAGTAGCAGAGTTACGCGTGAGTTGSTTGTTGTTGGTGTAGACATTTACTGAGAAAAATGAACGCGAGTCTACATTGTATTATGTTTAAATGTACACAAGTAAAAGGTTTATTGAACTTTTGATAGATGCTAACCAAGGATTTTCGGCACATTTTAGGGAGCTCGGTCATGACAAAGTCAGAGTGTTGTCCAATTTTTTTTTGGTTTTTTTGGTACACTCTTCATGTGAACGTATGTGAAGTTCAATCTGTCARTTCATTCTYYGTTTACAAGACATTTAGTGTCGCCGTATCACTGTATTTTTTTACAATGGAAAATATTTAATATCGTGCAGTGATAAAATTCTTATTTTTGAAAATCCAAAACTTTCAAAGGAAACTCAGTAACGAATGTTAAAAGTATACTATGACTGTTCACCTACAATTAGAACAGTAGAAATATGGGTTGCTGAATTTAAATGTAGTCATACACACCTTGAAGACGCTTCGAAATTAGTTCGTGTTCGGAAATGGGCCAAGAAAGTTATGGCATCAGCTTTTCAGGATGCGAGAGGTATTTGGTTTGCAGATTACTTGTTAAGTAAAGTAATTACTTGAATATTACTTCAACACTTTGAACTAGCTGAAGGAAAAAGTTCGTGAAAAAAACCCGGTTTGTAGAAGAAAAAATCCTATTTCATCACGTCCATGCACCGTATCACAATCCATGGAAATAAAGCTCCAATTGTTGGAGCAYCCACCGTATTCACGAGATTTTTCCCCCAGCGACTTTCATTTGTTTMCAAAACTCAAAARATGTATGCGTGGCAACCGTTTTTCATCAAATAAATGGGTCATAACGGCTGTCGAAGAGTATTTGCAGACCTTCTGAACTCTTACTTCAGGGATGAGATGCACAGATTTGGGGATCGTTGGAGCAAGTGTATTATTGTTCARGGAGATTATATTGAATAATAAAGTGTATTTTAAATCATGAAATTGTGTTTTTCAAACACAACAAAACTTATTGAACTGCTTGTATGTGTCAGTAATCCTTGTCATTTTGTAATAATTTTGGTTTCTTAAGGTACTATGGAATGCGAATTTATACAGAGAAATGGGTTTTTTTTATTGGCAAATCACGAATCTATCAAAATTCTGCCTAGTCTCTAGTCACTACATGTGTTCACATTTCGCAATAATATCTTTTTTTATTTTTGAACTTGTGATAATTTTAAGCAGAAAAATCTTCCTCAACACCCGACCCTTTTTTTCGAAGACTCTCCTGGAAATTAGCTAAGAGATGTAGGCAAGCAAAATTTGCTTAAAATGCATCGCAAATTGCTCAAGCACATCCTCTGTATATGTACATTATTTTTATTTATTAATTAAATAATATTTCTCTACAAAAAAATTCATAAAATGCCTTTTTTCTGACTTGCAAGTGGATATAACCGCTTAAGACTAACTTCCGGAAGATAATATTTCCACTATCCTCGAGTTTGAACGCACAACTAATCACGTGATAGTCGTGTCCTTGTCTTTAAGTAAATAGTATTCTAAAAATTTCGTCTAGTTACTTTTCACAAACGGTTCACGCATAAATTTTGCAGTCACTGTTGTCTCCTATTGCCGATAGCCCACATACATCAGCACGTACTGAGCTACATATGTCAGCAGTCGTCCTTCAACCTTTGATAAACGAGCTGGAATAAATAGTGAGTTATTTTGCTGCTACCAGCCTTGGATGTGCCTGAGGCGACGACGCCCAATTGGTAACATGCGCGCAGCACAAAAACAAAAACAAAAATGAGAAAAGTTGAAAAATATGAGTACAATAATGAGGCGACAACATKTAGGACATTTACGTTAACAAGCATACATAATTTCATTGATGTATAATTTTGCTGGCAATATGGGAAAACGACGAATTAAACTGGAGCAGCTAGAGGAGATTAGGAAAGTTCAATAGAAGCGTGTGACGGCTTAGTGAACTGCGGAGGCACAAAAGTGGCGGAATGTGTGTATTTACATATTTACAGGTGAGAATATGTAGCTTAATTGGGCTGAGACCTGAATGTGAACAAGAAATCTAAGAATCTAAGAATCTGCGGTGGGAAAGGAGGGGAAGGGGAAATAGCAGGAGAGGAGTTGCCGGTTTGATAGTAACGGGTGAGGGTGTTACGTGCCAAAGGTGTTAGCCTTAGCAGGTATACGATGTGCAAAGAAGTATTTGATGCCGACACTACAGGAGGAGTAAGGTAATTTGACAAGGGGGTTGGAGGCGTTGACGCATGCTTTGGAATATTTGAAACATTCTGTGCCGCAACGGTGCAAACGTGCGTACAAAGCAGTCACATATACCTACACACAAATTTGCGCACTTTGCCTTCACACACACACACACACACATGCACATACATTTGCATTTACATAATATCAGATTTCCACAAACACTGCGCGCTTCTCCTCCCCTCGGATGGATTTCATGCTTATGCAAATAGTATACACGCTCCTTACACATACACACACAGTTATTTACATACATATATGTACATATACACCGACGATATGCAGGGTGTATCATATTCGCGAATAGAACATCCGCCAGTTGTATTTCATCCACTAAGCTACTTCAAGCATCATAAATACATTCTCTACTTCACAAATATTTACATTCTATTTACATAATTTCCAGCAAACTTTAATATATAAATGTATATCTCTGTGTCTACACGGCATTTGCATATGTACAGATAATACAAGATTTGTTGCTCATACGCCATGGCGGCGCAACAAGCCAACTTACAGCTACGGCGGTAACGGTAAGTAAAGTTCGCGAATGAAGGCAAAGCAAAAGCGATGAAGGAATTTAATTACACAATTCTGYACTTACCCGCTTGCCGCGTTTGCCGCGCGGTCCCTTCTCGCCAGGCGGGCCGGGTGGTCCAGCGGGGCCCACTTCGCCGCGGTCGCCAGGTACTCCAGGTGGACCTGCAAGAAATCGYATTTGATTTGTTAAATTTCTAATTTGCATTTGGAATTTYCAATTTTTTATGAATGYTGATTGCATTTGGGTTAAACGAGTGATTGTAATACGCCCTCAGCGAAATGGTTATGTGAGACAAACCATCTTCTCAATTTTTCATGTAAAATAGCGTCGTAATACTTTCATATGTTTCGCTATAAAACCATGAATCTACCCTCGAACTAACTAGTCTAAAATTATTTTGTTACTTGCTTAAAGTACCATTATATTTGAGCATTTTTTAAATGTAAGTTGTTATTCTGATAGTTCAGTGGTTGATCCTCCGTTGATACACTTAACTGTGAACATACTTTTTGCTGTATATCGGTAGTTTATTACCCGTTTCAATAGAAGCGTGATATTTTTAGACAAAAGAAACACTTTGAAAGTGAAAAATGTAGTTGTAATTAATATGTAATATGCAATTTGCTTTCTGGTAAAGTAACTGATATTATACTATACCAAGGAAAGCGCTGTTATCTACTAAGGAGCGCGCTAGTAATCTACCATACAGTGAATCTGGTAACGGTAAAAGCGTTAAAGTGAATCAAATTAAGAAACTGTCGAAAACTTTTTGATAAATTCCGACGTATGTGGAAATCTTAAAAGAATTGGCCCTAAACCTAAGATTGACGAAAGGTGTAAAAGAGAGATAAGATGATTAGCTATCAATAAAAACCATACCACCATCACCACKAAACAAATATGAAGTGAAATTTCTCTTAATTCCGCAAATTTTCAGTGAAGATTCAAATTTAATCTCAAAAGCGACTGTCAAAGCCAAAGCTTACGCCAAGCTTTAAAACGGCTCGAATCGCATCTGCAGATAAGTGGGGACGTTATTTTCGCCGATGGTATAATACCCAGCACAAGTAACAGCTTCGGTGCATGAACTCGATTTTGATCGATTAGCTTGTAAAAAGCATATAAACAWATGCATGTATATGCTATTTTGGTGCGACATAAATAATACACGCCATCTAAAATACATAAGTTTACATGCGATGGCTAAACGTTGTAATAGAAACCACTCATATTGAAAAAAAAAATTGACTTTTGGTTATATATTAGTTATTACATCTGATAGCGATTTCCGATTTTTTGATGATAAATTTTTTTGCATTTTAGGTGACGTTATATGCCTTGGAAAGTAATCGTTGTGAAATTTCGTAAAGCTATCTCGTCAAATGAAAAAGTTGTCCGTACATCATATAGTGATCCGATACAAGCGCTTCCAATAAATTATCACAATTTTGGAAGCAAGATAATATCTATAAAAGATTATATATGAATATCTCAACAACTAGTTCACATGTGCGCTAACGTTTTTTAGGGTCTTTGACACTTTTTTGGCACTACAAATTTTAACTTCTTAAATGAACGTTTTAGTAACTGACCAAATAATTTTTTCTCACCAATAAATATTTTTTGGGTTTTCAAACAATTTAAAGCCGAAGTTTCGATCAAAAATCGGTTTTTTTAAACAGCCATTTGGCCAAAAATTTTTATTTTACTTATCGCTTCGATTAATTACTAGATTGAGCATAATATGTGTAGACATTTTTGGATTCAAAAATTCTGGAAAATTCGCTTTTTTGCCCTATTAACCGTATATAACCCCTTAAGATCGAAAGTGTTTTTCTTTTATCCATCATTTATAAATCTTCARCCAAAATATGGCGGTTTAACCTTTACTCACTGCTCACTAAAAAAAATTTGAAACAAAATTTCAGCAAACAAATCATGGCCTCGCCCATCACAACCACAAACAACAATTGTGCTCAATAATTATGAGTGTGTCATCCGTCAATTAATTGCAAAACAACTTGTGGCTTGAGCTAGCTTTAAAATTGCACGCATACACGTGTTCAATTTCCCAACCGTGTGGTTTGTAATTGAATTTGGCATCCAAAAAGCGCGTGTGTGCAAAAAACGTTAAAYTAGTGCTAAATATTTTACATGAAAATAACGGCAATACGGTTGAAAAAGTTAATCAACACTTGGCGTCAATGAAARTCTGGTGTTTTTGTTGATGTCGCGAGGCCCGGCGCTGCAGTTGTCATTGATGAACCCTCAAATCTACGCGCAGCAAATGACAACTGACACAAACCAACGAAATGCAAACTCTTACACACGTACACACGTACACATAATACATATATACATATGTGTGAGTATATACGGTATATTGAGACTGAAGTGACGCCTATGGAAATGCGCTGAAATTCAATTTGAGCGACACAATGCGCTAAAAACAAACGCTTTTTCACCACCTGACAAACTCGAAACACAAGGAGGGTGCTTCAGACTGGCGCACCAGAGCTGTTGTATAAACTATATATAGATGTTTTTGGAACCTATATTTGGAATGTTTGGAGTTCTTAGCGGATTTATTTTGGCTGCAATCCGCTTGTTCGGAGGGCTTAGTGGCCTAGTTAAAGGTTTAGGTTTCCTTCACTTATCATCAGTTTTGATTCAGTTATTTTTTCAGAACCCTTTAAAAAATCTCTTCCCACCCAGTATTATATTTAATTTCTGTTTGATGCCAAAAAGAATATATTTGTGTGAATTTCCTTCAGCATTAATCGATCTGCTCTAATGTTCCATTCGTGGATTGGAATCCCTTTATATCCGCCTACGCATATACATACATATAGTGCATATATATTTTGAAGCGCGGTTCGCGCACAATATGCAGGCGAGTATAATTAAATTTGGAAAAGTGAAATTTCACACCAGCTCTGTCAAATCGCTTTCAATGCGTATTTAAATTTGACGCCTCCATGCAACAGTCGCACTGAAACAACAACGCCAAATCAGGAAAATGGCTTTTATTACGCAAATCGAAATTAACTAAACAGCGAGCGCTTGCAGAATAATTAATTCAAGCTTTCTGATGAAATTGGTGGAATAAATAGCCAGACAGGCGTATAATCGTATAATCGATTTAACAGCAAAATTTTGCATATGTTTCAGGGTTGCGCGGTAATATTACGAGGGTTGCTTTGAAAATTAAAATCGATCGATAATTTTTATTCCATACATTCTGGGATTTGTTTGATTACATTTTCGAAAATATTTCTCGAGATTTAGAGTGAGAACTTTAAAACATTTATTAAAGCCACAACTAGTGCGAAATTTTGTAAAAATCTTTTTTATACAGTTTATACCTTTAAAAATAACATTCCGAAATTTAAAGTTAATTTTTTTTTATCGTAGGTGATTGTATGGAGAATATCTTTTAGTTTAATGAGAACCTTACATATTTTATTTTTAGGTGTCATTTTGGAGAACGGCTGGCCGGAAGCATTGCAGCAGTTAAGGATCTTTTTTTTTTTAACGCCTTTGGAGCCTCTAGTATAACTAAATGAAAAATTAAACTGTTTTCAAAAATTTCGCTGTGTATTCTTTAAACATATCGTCACCTAACATGCGAATACAACGTAGCATAAAAAAATCGAAAATCGAATGTCAGATATAATAACCAATATATAACCAAAACWTTGTTTCAATRTGAGTGTATAATAACCAATATATAAMCATTTTATAACGAAAACTCAAATTTTGTTTCACCTTAAGTGATTTCTATTATATCGTTTTTCTTTCGTSTGTAAACTTATGAAAAGTTATGTTACGTTATTTTGCATTTTAGGTGRCGGTATACACCAACGYACCCTGAACATTTCAAAACAATCAAGGAAGTAGTTTTGTTTTTGTTTTTTAATTCCCAAAAACCGACGTTTTTTAGACCGCCACACTAAGTGTGCACTTTAAGAATATTGATCGTGGACAGCTTCCTGGAGTTTTAAGTTAAAATAGCCACTTTTTTCCCAGATCAATTTTGAAATCAATGTAAACAATAATAATGTGGCTCACACCTCAAAAAGTTGTCAATTATATTATGGTAGAAGGAATTTCGAATGAAAGCCTGAGAAATTGCCTGTGATAGTAAAGCTCTTTAACTGTGCTGTAGGCACATGAAATGATAACATGTTGAGAAAAAGAATGTTGACACATTCTTACATTTGCAGTGTGTAAAGCACTGTCATACAAAAGGTCGAGCCATAAACTTGGCAGTGGTCAGAAACGATTCWTCTACATACGGCTCAAGCAGCTCACAGCCGTGCAGTTTCCTCTGGGTAGCCAAAAAACATCCGCTCAAAGGCAAGGTAAAGTGAGAAGGCGAAAAATTCTCTCCACAGGGTTGTGCGCTGGGTTTGAACTCACCACATAAAAAATACTACGAATGAAAAAAAAAATAAAACTACCTCGGGTTAGGAACCATCTTCTTGATGACGAGGATTACGGTTTAGGGGATGCACCTGGAAATCCAATTCCTTAATTGGGAAGGTGCCGCTACCCAGCTGATTGATGTCTTCGTTGGAGTAAATGCTGACATCACCGCCGTCCAAGAAATACGATGGACGAGACAAGGACTGAGGCGAGTTGGTCCTTCTGGCTCATTTTATTTAATTTTTCGTTAAATGAACTGTTAAATAATAACAAGACGCAAGAATGATAGGTACCAAATTTGGTGGAATTGGTAAGTATTGGTCGAATGGTTGCGAGGTGTTCTTCACCAAAAACAATTCGATAATGGTTACAAACCGAGCGCCTAGGAATCATAAGTATGGAAAACCCGTTCCTGATAAYCGGTTGCGTTTTTAAAAGCAGTAACAATATAGTATATAAATATAAACTGATATCTTGGTATTTGTTTGATAAATTATCAAAATATGTGACCTGATCTACGAAAAGGGAGCTAACGTGTGAAAACTAGTTTTCTGGGAAACAGCTGTTAAAAATCTCATCTTCCATCCGAATCAACTAAAAAGTGAAAATTGATTTTTTGGATTTTTTGACACCTAAGCCCCCTTTCCGTAGACCAGCTCACATATATATATGTATACGAGTTATATCCATTCGAATCACAAGTTTCCAGCACGTGTCTGCGGTTTGAAAATA